AAGTTCTCTTACGTTATTGAGCTAAATTGCTCTTTTTCTTAACTTACTTTATTATTTTCCAAACCCGATTACAAGACATAGCCGCGAACATAGTCACACAGTTTTATAAGAATTTTTCTCCCACAACATCACAGGTTTCATGATTTTCTAATTAGCTCTGTCACAGATCTTTTCTTCTTACTAGAAGGGTCCCTTTCCATTTTAAAAGGTATTTTGGTCCTCTTGCAGATCTTCGTCAAACCGCTCTGATACCAATTGTTGTGATTGTAAAGGTCCATGTCCAACTCTTTATTGTCCGATTAGTATGATATTGTCCACTTTGAGCATAAAAGACTGGTCTGCATGGGTTTACTTTTGGTTTCTTCTCAAAAAGCATCGTACTAATTAGAATTGGATTTCTCTTTATATATTAGACACTCATTGTTTAATCTTTTTTGTGAAAACAAAATTATACTCATTGTCTAATCTTCCAATGTAGAACTTAAATTAACATCACACATAACAAGTCTTTCTTGAAGAACTCTTTTCCCAAAGTATCATAAAATTCATCTAATCCGTCTCGTTTGTCAGAATCTAATGATTCTTCTTCTTCTTCCACAGAAATCAGTGAGGCAAACTTGTTGGAACCAACACAAGGTTCCACGACTTTATTATGTTCCTTTTGGAAAGTAGAGATTTCTTGAGCAGTAGAAGTATCGGTAGCCGATAAAGTCGTGGCAGACTCCAAAATTGGAGACTCTATAGTTTCAGAGTTACATTGAAGGACACATTGTGTCTTTAGTTTTTCTTCAGAGACACAATATGAAATTGACACACATTTCTCCACATTTCTTTTTAGCTGTATTTTTTCTCCCATAAATAACCTTGCTTTTTGCTAAAGAGGAGAGAGTTGGTTTTAAAGAAACAAAAGAGTTGTAACTAAGTTACTTTCCACTTGTAATTAATGATAAAGAGTAACTCAAAAAAAGTAGCTATATGGGATAAGGGGAATCGTTTTTGCTCGTTGAATCTGATTAAAAACAAAAGATCTAACGGCAGACTGGAGAAAGTTGCAACTAAGAAGAAAACGTTGGTGATGAAAATAGGGATGAGTCAAGATCTACTGAAGTAGAAGATGGGTCAAGATAAAAATCTTTAAACAATTTGTTATTTTTAACAGTTCTGTTTGTAGAAATCTCTGTTTTTTATAGGTTTTGTTTCTACGAAACTTTGTTTTTAAAGGTAGTTATTTAGACTTTGTTTCTATGAAACTCTATTTTTGAAAACAGCTATTCACAAATATGTCGTGGACAGTAGAGTAGTGGATAGAAGTTTGTCGACAAATATGTTTGTGGATAGAACATTGTGGACAAATAGAGCAGAGAGTAGTGACATGGTTTTGTGATAATTATGTATGGATACATCTTTGTGGACGAGTGTTATGTGGACGACTAATGTTATGTCCACAAGTGTTATGTGGACATACAAGTTATGGACACTGTTTTGTGGATATGGATGGCTTCTTTCAGATTTTAACATCAACCCAAATATGGATCTCTCCTACAATATATCCAGTAAATCAAAAATAAAATCACACAAACAAAATTAAAGAACATTGCTAGGAAAACACTTACACAATCATTTGAGAAGAAATTGATGGTAAAAAAAAAAAAAAAAAAATGAGGTGCTTTCTCGTTCACTCCGGTGGACAATGAGAGAAGCCATTCATTCGAACCGCCACCTCCATAGTCCCCACCCTAATAACTTTCACCTGCACCGTATCCACCACATCCTCCTTTTGAGTAGCCATGTCCGATGTATCCACCACCACTGTATTGACCACCACTATATCCCAACTCTCTTTTTCCACCACCCCCTCCTCCATAACCACACACCTCCATTGTGGTATTCACATCCACCTTAACCATGGCTGTCACCGCCACGCCACCGCTTCCACGAGATTGAGTCTCGTTCATAGTTATGTTGTGACCACTAAGTTCCTAACTACCACCACCGATCGAAAAACGATGTCTCTGATCGAGAAGAAGATGACAAACGGGAGAAAGGGGAGTAAACACAATCTCGGATCGAGAAAAAGATGACGAAATGGAGAAAGGGGACTAGAGTCAGAGTTCAAACAACTTGTATAGGTAGGACTCCTTCTCTTTTAATAGTATTGAATTGTTATTAAAATTAATGCATCTTATTTAGTTATATTAGAAAATGTGAAATATTAATATTTAAGACAAATAAATAGAAAAAAATGTTTAAAAATATAAAATTTATTTTAAAAATAGAAAATGTATTTTAAAATATATATTTGAAAATACAAAATTAATTTTTAAATACAAATTTAATTTTAAAATATATAAATTTATTTTAAAAATATAAACATAAAATTTTGATATTATTAAATAAAATAAGTTAATTATTTAGAATTTATATATAAATTATCATTATTTATTTATTGATAGAGTAATAAATGTATATAATTCATTCATTTCAAAAATAATTTAGCTTTTTATATTTATAATATATAAATTTATGTTATGTTTTGTTATTAAAAATAATGAACGATGTGTAATTATATAAATATATTATATCTTAATTTTTAAATTTAATTCTTTAAAAATCTTAAAATATCGCAACTTTTATTTTTAATACTATAAATTTATTTTTTATCATAAACATGTTTTGTATTATTAAATTTAAATATATTAATTATATATAATTATTCTTAAACTTTAATATATTCTAACTGTAAATGCTTTATCAAAAGCTCCTTATGTAAACAATTAGCAAAGAGCTTTTGAAGAACATTGACATCTTGTAAATGCTTTTGTGATAAATGTTTTTTTAACACATATATTAAAGAAAAATTTGCGCTCCTACCAAAACACTTTAACGATATTTGCGAAGTACCAAAGAGAAGGAAACCGTCTACTGTTCACTATTGCGATTTTACTCTGCTACTCTTATCTTATTGTCCTTCTCACCTGACCAAACCAAAAAACGGGTAGACTATGGAGTTGAAATCGGAGGAGTGAGAAATACGCAAGATATTATCATATCTTTTTTGTCAGTGGTTCGGGGAATTGAACAAAGAAACTAACTAATTTCAAATAAAAGTAGTTTCGTATATCAACTCATAGTTCATCATTTCTCAAGATCCCCAACTGCTCTTTCTCAAACCAAATCAGCGTATGGAGGAGCACGACCACTCTCGGAGGCCTCCGTGTCCACTCCCCGAGAGGATATTCTCCATCGGAAAAAAACCCACCGGCGTCAGGGTCACTCCGTACCACAAGGCTGGCGGAATCAAGCAAATCCTCAATGCACTTCACCCCGATGAAATTGAAGAGATACGAGGAAATTGATTGAGATAGCCGAGAAACTGTTGTGTGATGTTGCCTTACACAACCGTAGGAAATCTATATTTTTTCTTTACATACTCATAATCGTTGTAGCCAGCTACTATTAATTGTGAACTAATGATATATAGGAATGACTCCTACTATAAAACAGTTCCGGCTAGTTAACTAACACGTGTTAAAGTGTCAGACATACTATATAGCCAGCTATGAATTAATTTTAACGTCCTAAGTATATACTGACCGTCCATGTAGGTCGTTAACCGTTCAAGTAGATTTATTAACTGTTTGTTTACAATTTGGTAATGGATATGGTTTTATTTGATATTGTTAGTTAAGGGCTTAGGTGTTACTGTTTATTGGTTAGGGTTTAGGATTTACTGTTTATGGGTTGGTATTAGGGTTTAATTTTTACGGTTTAGGGTTTATTGTTTAGGGTTTAGGGTTTATTCTTTAGGGTTTATTGTTTAGGGTTTAGGGTTTAGGGTGTTAGGTTTAGAGGTTTATTCTTTAGGGTTTATTGTTTAGGGTTTAGGGTTTAGGGTTTAGGGTGTTAGGTTTAGAGGTTTATGGTTTAGGGTTTAGGGTTTCTTTTGTTTAGAATTAAAGACTTCATAATAGCAACATACAACCTCCCAAAAAAAACATGTCAGATTACCCACGGTTAATACAAAGTTTAACCCCCAAAAACCATCTAGTTGGGTTAACATTTTTTCTTAATCGTCCATTAGCCTTTCATTACCCTTATTTCATAAACCATCAGCACATTAACCGTCCATGTAGGTTGTTAACCGTCCAAGCAGATTTTATCAACTGTTTGTTTACTATAGCTAGATGGGTTAACATTTTTCTTAACCGTCCATTAGTCTTACATTACCCTTCGTAAACCATCAGTACATTAACCGTCCATGTAGGTTGTTAACCGTCCAAGTAGATTTTATGCAACTCTTCGTAATGTAAACGTAATCTTTGCATTATCTTGCTAAATCCACCAAAGATAACAATGCTAAATCCACCAAAGATAACAATCTTGTGTCAGACCTGTTTAGATTTACAAGATTTTTGGGAAGCAGAGCTGAATTCCGGACAAGATAGTTTTGTCTTTACAATACCACTATTCCATCACGTATGTTCCACTTCTTTTCTTTGGGTATTCTACTAATTTCAACATCTTCCATTGGTTTTGACCAAATTACCTCTATATTAAATAACTACTTTCGCAAAGCTAATATAGGAAAAGCGAGGTAGCAGTACATAAGGTAGTTTTAGCAAGATGATCAGCTAGAGAGTTCAACAATCTCTCGATAAACTTAAAAAGACAGAAAAAAAAAATTAAAGATAAATGTTCGATGTCCTGGATGATTTGAAGAGTTCCGTAAAAGGAAGCTTCGAAGAAATTGCTGCAAGCAACGATTGACAATCTGTGTTGAAACAGATACTATGGTGATTTTCCAGCAGTGCTAAAGTTTTTGTGATAAATGTTATTGGATGATAAAGAGTATAATACGTATGCTCAATCAAGCTCTAAGACATGATGTCAACATTTTTATGCTAATGAGAACTTAGGTTAAGTAAGAAATCTTTTAAGGTTATCTTTTTTACTGTTTATATGAACCAAACAATCTTGTCATTATTATTTTGAATCAATTCGAATAATTTGGAATAGTTCAAACTCGGAACATTAAAATACTACACAGTTGCAGAAAATACTATCTTTCTCTCTGGAAGCTTAAATTATGTTTCTCTCCGTCTGTTATTTGATCTAGTCGAAACCAAAAGAAAAAGCAAAAAAAAATCACATCATGGATGGCTTTTGATACCTAAGGATGTGCCTTTTGAGAACTCTGATCAAGTCATCACTTTAGAGACAACACCAGCTCCAACTGTTCTGCCTCCTTCCCTCAGGGCAAATCTTTGACCTATTTTGACAATAGTGATAACAAGTCAGAACTGAAACTGTTGGAACACAGAAAGGGAAGAGTGTCTAAAAGATTCTTGACCTATTTCGAGTGGGACAGGCATGATAAGCTCGAAAACCGCAGTGACATTGTCACCAGGCAAAACCATCTTCACGTCTTCTGGTAGTTCTACTCTTCCAGTGATATCTGCAGTCCTCAAGTAAAACTGAGGCATGTAGTTTGATAAGAAAGCAGTGTGACGGCCACCTTCGTCCTTTGTGAGCACATAAATCTCTGCTTCAAACTTCTTGTATGTCTTGCATGAGCCAGGCTTAGCAATCACCTAATAAGCAAACCATGTATACAGAGAGAAAGCATTAGTGCTCTCATCCACTAGTCATAATAAGGATGCTTAAGCTTTACCATTCCACGCTGAATGTCTTCTCTCTTTAGCCCACGCAGAAGAAGTCCTACATTATCACCAGCCTAACATAATGAAAGCCAAAGTTCAATCAAACATGCCTAGAACCTGTCTTTGTAATCTATAGATGGTCTCTTTACCTGTCCATTATCCAAAATCTTCTTGAACATCTCAACCCCAGTTACAGTTGATTTCATTGGAGGTCCCTGAAAATCAAATCAAGAAAATGCTTATAATTGTAATAATAGCCTTTAATTGTCTGAATAAACGCAGTATTCATGCACACTCACGTCTTTTAAACCCAATATCTCAACTTCTTCACCCACTTTGATGACTCCTTGTTCAATCCGACCCGTTGCAACAGTTCCACGTCCCTTTTAAGAACAAAACAAAACTATCAGAACTTATTTTTCAAAAAAAATGAAGAAAAGAGACAGGGATACAGATTAGTATACTTGAATCGAGAAAACATCTTCAATAGGCATCAAGAAAGGCTTGTCGAGCACACGAACAGGGTCCGGTATGTATTCATCAACAGCATCCATTAGCTTCAATATAGCTTGCCTTCCAATTTCATCGTTTGTGCCTTGAAGTGCAGACAGGGCAGATCCCCGGATTATGGGAATATCATCCCCAGGAAACTTGTAGAAGCTGAGAAGTTCTGGAACAAGTGAATAGTTGATGTCAGTCAGATACTTGAACTTAGCTACATATGCAGAAAGAAGTAGCATAAAAGATGTACAAACCACGCAGTTCCATCTCAACAAGCTCCAACAACTCTGGATCATCCACCACATCAACTTTGTTAAGGAAGCACACAAGCGATGGAACACCAACCTGTAGGACATCACAAAATTAATATCTAACACATCTTGAGTAGATTTAAGTGTTCATATGTAATGATGCAAACCTGACGTGCAAGTAGAATATGTTCCTTGGTCTGAGGCATGGGTCCATCTGGACCTGAAACCACAAGAATCCCACCATCCATTTGTGCAGCTCCCGTAATCATATTCTGAAAGTTAGCAACTTAAGCATTGAGAGCTCAACTCAACTGTTCATCAAAGTATTACAAAGGAAAATTTCATATACTGATGCATGTTACTCCACTACACATTTCACATATACTATACTATGATGCATTACAACATAATAATACTTCCACTAATAATACTTCAAAGCCATGATCACATGTGAGAAAGTATGAATACACCAAGAGGACAAGTGTAAACTATTTTATAGGAGATCATTATTGGCAACACCTCTATGAATGTTGGTGTCTTACCTTAACATAATCAGCGTGTCCAGGACAATCCACATGAGCATAGTGACGCTTAGCAGTCTCATACTCCACATGAGCCTACAAAAACCAAGCAACATCATCAAGTAAAATGACTAGAGCCAAAACATTCGCTTGGAAACAGGAAAACAGAGAGAAGAAGAACATATAAACACAGACAGACCGTGGCAATAGTAATTCCTCTCTTCTTCTCTTCAGGAGCTTTATCAATTTCATCAAAGGCAATAGCTTTAGCTTTCCCCTCTTCAGCAAGAACCTAAACAAACAAGTACCATCCATCCATATCTCTCAACTTTAAAACAAAAAGACACTCTCCACCAATTAAAACTCTCATCAAATGTATAAAAAAAAAAAAGGAATCACCTTTGTGATTGCAGCAGTCAAAGTAGTCTTCCCATGATCCACATGCCCAATTGTCCCAACATTTACATGAGGTTTACTGCAAACATTATTACAAAACAGAGTAAAGTCATATCAAATCAAATTAAAATCATTGAGAGAAAGGAAAAAAAAAAACAGAAAGAAACTAACTTTCGAGTAAAAGTGGCCATTGATCTCCACAGAGAAGTTCCGAAACTTGAAGGAGGAGAGAGATCATCTCCTCCGAGTGAATGAGAGATCGAAGGAGAAGAAGAAGTGATGGAGACACTGCAACGTGAGTAGATCTGAGAAGAGAACGGGAGAAGACGCTTCGAGGTAGGGTTTCGAAGAGCTACCGAAGCCATTTTTGAGTTTTTTTTAGTTTACACAAGAAAAGAGAGGACGAAGTGAGAGATGGGGTTTTAGTCGCCTTGAGGGTTTATGTTGAAATCTCCCCACCCTTATTTCTTTTAACCCGACCCGACGCGGATAAAGCCCATTTGAATGTCTTTTACTTTTAATGGCCCGTTTAAGTGGTTTTTTAACTAATACTGGCCCATTTAAATGTTTCAACTTAATGGCTATTAAAACAAACATAAGCAAAACCTACAATAGAGTGGAATGGAGTTTCATAACAGCTTTGATGTTAAAGATGGGATTTGATGAAAGACTGATTGAACTTATTATGTGTTGTGTCACGTCAGTCTCATATCAAGTCCTTGTCAATGGGCAACCGAAGTTTTGATATCACTCCTTAACGGAGCAGAAGCGGAGAAGAAGATTGTGGGTTTTCGCGTTGCCCAGGCGAGTCCGGGGATCTTCCATCTTCTCTTCACTGATGATAGTCTTTTCTTTTGCAAAGCAAAAGTGAACCATTGCAAGGAGATTATAGATATTATAGACATGTATGGGAAAGCATCAGGACAAAAACTAAGTGCGGCGAAATCTTTGATGTTCTTTGGAAACAAAGTGGATCACCTTTGAAAACAAGAGATAAAAAAAAAAGTATTGGGTTTTTCTATTGAAGGAAGCATAGGAATGTACCTTGGATTACCTGAACAAATTTGTGGCTCGAAAACCAAAGTATTCTCCTACGTACAAGATCGGCTTAATGGGCGAGTAAATAATTGGTCATCGAAATTACTCTTGAAAGGAGGAAAAGAAGTTCAGATTAAAGCGGTGGCTCAAGCAATTCCGACATATCCAATGTCGTGTTACTTGGTTCCACAAGGCATTACTGATAAACTAAGGAGTAAGACTTCTAATTTTTGGTGGAGTTCGAAACAGAACAGCAAAGGCTTGCATTGGATAGCAGGGGACGAAATCTGTACCCCCAAGGATTTGGGGGTACTAGATTTTCGAGATCTCCATAACTTCAATTTAGCACTTCTTGCAAAACAATTATGGCGTTTGATCCAGTATCCGAGTTCCTTACTGGCACGTACCCTAAAAGAAAGATATTACAACAATATTTCTCCCTTGGAAGATCGACGAACATACTCACTCTCATATGGTTGGCGCAGTATCATGGCAGCAAGACCTTTACTCGTGTCGGGGTTACAGAGAACAATTAGAACGGGCCGCGATACGAGGGTTTGGAGCGAGCCTTGGGTTCATGACTCAGTGGCCCGGCTACCTAAACATGCCGATCACATTATCTACATACTTCCTTAATTCCCTGTTCAGGCCTTTATTAGGAATTATACAAAGGATTGGGATATCCAGCTTCTACAGGATTTCTTTCAGCCAGATGATATCTCGTTGATACTTGGGATTAAACCATCTCGCTCCTCTACTCTGGATGGATATGTTTGGAATCACACAAAGACAGGAGTCTATTCAGTTAAAACCGGATATAATCTACTCCAACTGAGCAAGACGAGCCCTACACATGAAATGGTTCTCGAACCAAATGTCAAAGGCCTACAGAGTCATGTATAGAAGTTAAAGGCTCCAAGCAAGATGAAGCACTTTTTGTGGTAAGGTATTTCGGGCTGTGTGACGACAGCAGAAAGGCTAACTTATAGACACTTGGGCACTGATAGGAGTTGTCCTAGATGTGCTGGCCCAATGGAGTCGATTAACCATCTCCTTTTTGAGTGTCCTCCTGCCATGCAGGTTTGGACTTTATCGGACTATTCATCCAGTTCGGGTGACTTTCCGAGTATATTTATTTATCAAAACATGAACTTTCTGTTTTGGAAGCGAAAAGAAGTGGCTCCTCAGAGATCACAATTCGACACCTTCGCATGGATCTGTTGGTATATTTGGAATGCAAGGAACGACAAACTCTTTAAGGGAAAAGACGTATCTCCAATTGACACTCTTTAACATGCGTCTCTTGAGGCAAAATGTTGGAGGAAGATAAACAAGAAAGAGGAAGTAAATGAGGATCGTGAGGTATCTCCTAGTTCAGAGCCCCATATTATCCCTCAAACCCCTACATGCCAAATTGATGCATCATGAGTCGATAATGGTAGTGTCAGTGGCTTAGGGTGGAGTCTCAAGGATCAAATGGGTTCTGAATGGTTCGGATTACGGGCGTGTAGAAGGATCCTATCAGCTTTACATGCCGAGATGGAAGACCTACTATGGGCAGTTTCATGTATGAAAGATTTGAGGGTAATTTCGACACGAATTGAGATGGACTCCTCGGATCTAGTGGACATGTCTACTAGACCGGAGGACTGGCTGGTTTTCGTGACAGAGATCGAGGTGCTTCAGCGACTACGGAAGGACTTTGAGGATCTGAGTCTTTCTTATATTTCAAGGAGTAAAAATGGACGAGCGGATGCACTAGCTAAAGAAACAAGGAGTATAGGCTATTTATTTTCCCATATAGATTAGATCCCGCCAGACGGAGTTTCTCCTTGGAGAATCGACTCGATTGGTCACCACTTAATCTAGCGTAAATGGACGGTTCACAAAAACAAAAACAAAAATGTTTCAACATAATGCCCAGACGAATTATTAACCCACCATGAATCAGATCGGATATAAAGTTTTAGGGCCGTTCACTATCAAGATTAACTTGGGATTCCAGTTTATAAATTTTATTCTTCTGGCCAAGGAAAAATAATAATTTCATTATTTTCAGCTTTCTTTCATGTGGGTGATTGGTGGCTTTGTATTAACCCAAAAAACATGAATTGGTTTTGTAGAGAGGGAAAGAGAGTGTATTTTTGGTTAGTTTATAAATTTATGTGGTTTTTATAGTCATAGGGCCAAGTTTCCATTAATTTAATCTATATTTTTATAATTATCAATCATGCTTTAATTCAATTTTTAAAGTTATGATTAAAAAAGGTGATCGTAAACCTTGTATTTACTAGATTAATATTTTTGTGTTGTAAGAAAAATTAGATTTTGGTCCGCGTTTTAAAAGCACAGTTGTGGTTTTTCACTTCAAACAGATATAGAAATCGTTCGGTTATTTATGAATTTGAGTATGGTTTCGGTTTGATTATTTTAGTTTATGGTTTTGTTCAGATAACAATGTTAGGAACTCGATAAAAATCTCGAGTTCAATTTGGTTCTGGTTTGGTTTCCGTTTTTAAATATCCCCTATATATTAATTGAGAATCATTTAAAAAGTAGTAACCTTAAGTTTGTAAGAATTAAAAATAACTCTAATCCTATGTGGCATAGCTCTTTGGCTTCTATTTCAAATTCTAAGAATTCTAGAGCATATGATATAATGTATAGTCTAAAAATTATATTTTCTAACAATATAATATTTCGTAGGCTATAGTTGGTCGCATATATCAAATATTTATTGTTTTGCGTGCTTTCCTTAAATAAAACCTACGAAATTACCTAATGAGATTAAAATATATATATGACAATTAATGATTTTAAACAATAAAGATTTGATAACAATCTGTATACTTTTTCTCATTTTCTTTATTTCTTTATTATTAAAATAAATTACACAATTACATTAATCATATAATAAAAATATATAGATTTTGTTTTGTGTATGTTGTATTTCGAATTTTTCAAAATGAGTATAATTACTAAAATTGTTAAAAGTCACACATAAACTTTTAGGATCAAGGTTTTATTTTCTTTTCTATATATATTAAATGTAATGATTATAAGACCATATGAAGAAATAATTTTAGTTTATATATATATTTCATATCGTTTTAATTAAACTATACATCGTATGAAAATACATACTTATATTTTGATATTTGCCTTGAACATATATTGAAATTTAATTATATATCATATACAATATATAAGATTGATTATTTTGATTTATTTACCCTAATTGCGAATAAACGAGAGTGATAATTTAATTTATATGCATACGACAATTTATTACATAATAGTAACTGACTTCTAAGTTATTTAATATTTTTTTTTTTTATAATATGCAGAACAACATAAAATATATAATAAATATAAGATATTTATTCTGCATAAAGTGCAGATCTTAACGTAAGTATGTATCTCTTTAATTATTTTAAATCTTAAGTATTTTCTAAATTCTAAGTCAAAACAAACAAACGAAATGAGAATATACTTCAAAATAAATATTTATATCGAGTAATAACTAAAATATAAAAAACCACAACAAGAGAAAAATTGAAGATAAATAGGATTGACAAGTGAACGCAAACTTCTCATAACCATAATTAATTTTTAAATTGTTAAATCAGGATATAAAACTGAGTTAGTTTTTAATATGTTAATTTTATTTTTTAAAATTTTTAAATCATTAGGGTTATGTTAAATCATGACCATAATTAATTTTAAATTTTTTATTTGTATTTGAAAAACTTAAAATATTGTTTTAAAAATACTTAAAATTTAAATTAATTGTTTTATAAAATTATTTAAAAATATAATTTTCTAATATTATTAGACAAATAAATAATTTATATTAAATTAGTTTTGAAACTTTATATATTTTAAATGCAAATATTTTACAAACTGCTTCTTAAAAAAATATTAGGGAATTTTCTTATACTCTACCAATCAAGCCCAGTGACACTCCATTTATTTTCCATCACTCGAACATTGAAAAGTGAAAAGATATATGAAATCGGGTCCATTAAATTCTAAGATTTGATATACAGTTCTAATTACAACTGTTTCTAATCCTACGTATAGATAATTATATAAAATTTCAAAATTATAAAATTTCAAATACATATAAAAAAACTATCTATAAATTTTAAATTTGTCAATACTAAAATTTCATCTTTTAATTACATATATTCACCCTGCGCAAGACGCAGGTTTTATCCTAGTTCTATACTATTATTTGAGAAGTAAATTTTCTTAGTTGTCATATTCTCCATAATTTTAGATAGTTTTGCTTATTTGTCATGTTTTTATGATTTTGATTAATGATTAATTATTACCATCAATGAAATTAGATTTATTAATGTATAGTTAACTATAAATT